ACATTGTAATTTTATTTAATAACAAGGTGCTTCAATTCATATCAGTGGAAGTTAAAGGCACTATGAGGAGAATGGTCGTGGACATGTTTGCTGCAAGATAGGTACAGATGGGCATAGATCCTCAAGCAGCTTTTAAAGCTTATTTTGTGAAACATGGCCCATTGCAGAATTGCTCTCGGATTGGTTCAGCAGAGGAAATAAGCATTCATTTCATATATCTGCCTGGCCAAGATCATCATGCGTTAGGTGTTTTGTACAGAAGGATAGGCAGTCTACATGCCAGCAAACTTGCGACTAAAGTTCTGAGTTAAACTCTAAAATTCTCTTGTGTTACTAAGCATAAATACAATTCAGCAGGTTTCCTTGTCCTTTTCACTCAGTTAATGGTGGACTTGTGTTTTGTTTTTTAACAGCGTATCACTGCAAGTGTGTGGACCCATGGCTGACAAAAACAAAAAAAACGTGTCCTGTATGTAAGCAGAAAGTGGTCCCTTCTCAGGGGGACTCTGACTCTGAAACAGACAGTAGTCAAGAGGAGAATGAAGTGTCTGAAAACACTCCCTTGCTTAGGCCATTAGCCTCAGTTAGTACTCAGTCATTTGGGGCTCTCTCAGAATCTCATTCCCATCAGAACATGACTGAGTCCTCAGAATATGAGGAAGATGACAATGACAATATTGATAGCAGTGATGCAGAAAATGGAACAAACGAAGAAAGTGTAGTGGTCCAACTGCAGCCCAATGATGAAAGGGAGTACAGAGTGGCAAATACTGTCTAAGACTACTAATGATGAATAGTGTACGAACAAAAGCATTCTGAAGGCTATATTTCACAAACCTTTACATAGGGAATATCTTTTAATCTCTAATCCATTTGGTTTCTTCAATAGGAGCAGCAGTTCATGTAGTAGTACTATGGTTAAATCATTAGAGATTTATTTCTGACACAGGTATTCAGTCGCGCATTCTGTCTTCTCAAAATGAACAGTTTAACTGGACTTCACAATGCTAATAAATAATGTTAATAGTTTATATCAATAGAATTATCACAGACTCTAAATGTATCTTGTTGAAATGGGGTTTATCTGGAAGTAATTTTTTTTTTCCATTTTGTAGCTACAACCGGGTCATACTGACAGCAATATTTATTACATGTATGGTATGTGTTACCCCTGAAGCCCAACAGAACAATGTATTTGCATGTTTGTATGGAGTTTTCCTAAAAACTGTCACCACTTCTGAAAGAAAAATGTAGAACAGATTGATACTCTATGTGGTGGAAATATCAAAACAAAGCAGAAGAAATACCACTTTTATCTCAAAGCAGATTCCAAACTGTGGAGTTTGCCAAAGTAGCTGAGTTTAAGCAGTTCCATTGAGCAATTCCTAGCATAAGGAAACTCAGAATATATGTTTTGTTTTGAGTAGTTCACAAGATCACCATAAATGGATTAGCTATCCCTACCTGCTACTGTGATGTAGTCTGGTTTCCAGTGATGATGTGGGAGTCGGGGAGGGGGGGTGGGGGAGGGAGGGAGAAGAAAAGGGGCTGGCCAAAACAGAGGTTTTGTTCTACATCAAAAAATAATTTAGGTAAGTATTCTATTGATCCTCAACTCATATACCTCTCACTAAAGAGCATTTTATGCTGCATTAGTCTGCTAAACTATGTATATATAAAAAAAATTCTTTTCAAATACCTGATTTGACAAGTGCTTATAACTGTTTAACAGAACTCAGTACTTACCAGTGTATCATGAAAAAGGTAAATGTTATATAATACCTCTGTAACTATGTAGAAAGTAAAAACACACGTATACTCAAAATGCAGAGATTTTTTTTACATGGCCTTGAATAAGGAAAGCTTGAAAGAATGTTAATAAACATGTTTTCCACTTTAAGTATCAAAAGGAATTTACTGAACTCTTGCATTACGTACACTCATGGTGTAGTCTTCTGTATTTATTACTAAGGTTAAAGTATTTTTAAAGATCCAGAAAATGCAGCTATTAAGATTGGTAAGCAAACAGCCTACACTTCACTGTGTATCACAGCCCAAAGTGCTGGACTGAGCAGCACTGTGTGCAGGAGGACCAAGTTAAACAGAAAACCTCACTGTTGTTCACTTTTAGTCAGAAGTTTTGAGTCTGGGTCTGTACGTGTAATTTGTGTGGGGGAGAGGGAAGGAAGACCAGGGTGCTGTTAATATTTCCTGCCCACCTGCTGACACCTGTAGAGCTACAATCTGTGAGCCTGTGTTCCGGAAGTCAGAAAACACTGAACCCTGGATGGCGGTGAGTGCAGGTGAGGGGTTTCCATTTGTTGTTTCTGACCTAAAACACCAAGCAGCAACACCCTCCTTGCTTCAGCCTGGCAAAGGAAATCAGTTCTCTGGGACTGGGTAATAGCAGAGAAAGTTTATTTTGCAGAATGAGACATGGAAAAGGTATAATAATGAAAGAATGACTCATCTTCAAATCACTGCCACCAGCAATCCATGGGGTTGATGACAAAGGGTGTATTTTCACTATGTAAAATTCCACTTTCAGTGTATGTATGCCTAGTTAAGTCCCAATGTGAAAACATTTCTGAAAACTTACTAAGCTGAAAGATGTTTCTTAAAATGGGTTCCTACTGTTCAGATGTTGTCAGTGCATTCACAATTGCATTTCAGGCACCCCAAAGCTAAGCGGCGCTATCCTGCTAAAGGAGGATCCATTGCAAAAGGAGGATGATAGGTGTGCAGGACTGCACAGGGCTTGGGTTCAGCAGAAAAAACAGTTACATGGAACTTTGCAATGTCTGAACCAAAGCATTTCACTGTATTTCTTCTCATAACTTCAAGGAAAATACTAATGCAAATTTGTGACCTAGATCATGATTCAGTGCTCAGGCCTTTAGCATAGAAAAATAACCCTCAGTATTTAAATCATCTGTTGATACGGAAATGTGAAATTTATCAGTTATTCAAGAAGTATACTTTGCACAGACCCTAGTAAACTGGGTACACAGACACCATTCTGCTGTGGAAATCCAACAACAAACACGTCTGAAAAATGAATTTGAGCAGCACCTAATTATTACCAAGAAAAAGTGTACAGGTGACGTACTGATACCTGTTCAGGAGAGGGGGATTAACAGTGTTAATAAGGAATTTGGTGTGTTCTGCTGGTGGCTGTTCCTGCCTCTGAGGTGCCATTACAGTTAACTTCAGCTATGGGCCTACTACAAAAAAAGGTCTGGGGAGTGATCCTCCCCCTAAAAAAGTTCTGCAGTCAGGGTATGAGTTGGGTTAAATTGGGTTTAGACAGTTTAGATACAGAGCAAAACAAGAAACAAGGATTCACACACATTTAAGGGAGAAATGAAAGGTTTGCAACCTCTGTATGAGTTACTACTAAATGTAACCTTAAGTGCTATGAGCTTTTTCTTGTCTAACACTAGCAGCTGGAAGGCAAGTTTAGACACCAAACAACTGGAGTACTTGGAGAAGGCAAGACCTTTTGCATACAAAGGTTTTAGGTTAGGTTGGGATCTAGTGGCAAGCAAAGGAGCAGATACAACATTCACACTGAAGATTAAGATGCAGGGGAAAACAAAGGCATTTTAATGGTCATCTCCAGGACCCAGGGAAGCAGAGGCTTAGCTAACCTCCTGTGGTTTGGGCTTTTCTTTCCCAGCCCCTACGCTCCCATTGTCCACTATTGCATCTCACCGATGCTGTGTTAGTTCACAGGGCCCACCTTGGATAGCAGAAGTGCCAAAAGCCAGGCAGAATTGTTTTGGGGTAAGAGAGACCTTAACTCTGCCCTTTCCAAGAGGAGCATGTTCTTACCCTGTGGAGAGCTGACCTTGGTTACACTGCAACATATCCTAATGAGTAGGTAACATGGCAAAGATCTCTAGCTTTTGTTCCAGGGGTTGTACATTAGGTACCCACGTGGCAGGGGAACTCTCTAACCCTAATCAGATAAATGTGGAGTTCTGTGACAAGGTATCTCACTTAAGATGATTTACCCAAGAGGGGGCCTGGCCTTTGACTAAAGAGGTATTATCACACTATTGCTCTCTTACAAAACTCAGAACTGCACCTACATCTAGTATTAGTGTAGTCAGCCATGCAGTGAAGAAGGGCCTCAGCGGATTTCTGTTAGGAGGGGAAAAATTACCAACAGTCGGATTTTGTTTGGTTGGAATAAATTTATTTCATCTGTCTGTAAACAAGGTGTTTTTAATAGTTATGGCATTTTTTGAAATGCATATTAAATCAGATGAGTTAGACTGTATCCCAGATGTAACAAAGTGCAGGGAAAGAAATGGACAAATCAGCAACAAGAATTCGTTTAAATCTGTACATTATCCACAAGGCCCAACAATAGAAGCAAAGACTAGAATGTCCCTACAGTAGTGCCATTCGAAAGAAACCCTCGTAGTCAGTTAAAATCCATCTCACAATAGCAACAGTTCATTTTTTTTTTTTTAACAATAGTATGGCACAGAATACATATTAAAAAAATTCATCACAAGACAGCCAAGTCAGTTATTCCAACCAATACCATCTCCCATTTATTCTTTTGTATACAGAGTTCTGTAGTTCTCTTTAAATGGACATACAAGTTAGTACCGTGTCTGAACTGAGAGTTTGGTTACAGACATTTCAGATGACTAGTGCACAAGGCAGTTCACTCCATCATTTCTGCAGCAAGGGTGTGACAGGCCAAATGAAGATTTAAAATTTGAAATGGCATCATTTTGACAGTTTAGCTTTCAAACTACCAACCTTCATCCAAACACTGGCCTCAGAGCAGCAAAACTCTTTACCAGTGAATGATCTGGCAGAAAGACTGGAGTCAGTCAGAGCGCCCGGTGTAGCTGAAGGTGGCAGTTTTCCACAAGGACATTGTAGTTCCATATTAAAAAAGAAAAAAAAAAAGAAAAAGAAACAAAAACAACCCCAAAACAAAACACAAAAAAAAAAACCACACAAAAAAACCCACAAACCCACCCCATGACTCCCCCAAGCTGCAAACTAAAATTGGTCCTATGAAAAACTGAAACCAGACACACTCCAGATGGTTATGTTGGGCTATCTAATGTCCATAATGGCAGCCTTTCACAATTCAACTACAGAACAGGAGCTGGCAAAAAAAAAAAAAAAAAAAAAAGTGCCTGAGCTATTGCAACGATGGAATGTCTGTGGGGATCTGCTCGGGATGTGGCTTTAAGGTCATGGGAGGAAGTGCGTCTGTACCCTTTCTTCCACAGTTTTGTGATTGCACTTGTTAAGCAGTACAAGCTTCAGACATCATGACAAAAAAATAAAAAGACTTAAGCCTAGAGTGAAGTGCAACAACAAAACTAATAGAACGTTAATAGCTTCTGAGTCACAACTTGGTTAAACAAACCAGGCACTATAAAAACGGGTGTGAGCAAACACACGTGGAATAAAAAAATAAAGAGGGACAGAAGTAAAGATATGCATGCACTTTTTTCCTCCCAACCATGCTCTATGAAAGGAAGACTAGTGAGCTGTGTAATTGCTCAAAGTGCTGAAGAGGCATTGATCAAATTAGATTGTACAATCGGCACCTTGTTTAGTGTATTTAAGTTGTTTTAGTCATCAATATCACACTAACTGCTAAGACAAAGCAAAGCCTACACTTGGCATATTCCCCACCCAAAAGTTTTTCAAGGTATCATGCATATCATCTTTGTGGTGCAGTAATGGTGCCAGATATGGGACTTGGTTACATACAGTGGTTAACATATAAATGAACAAAGGGTAACTGGAATTATGACATTAGGAAATGGGTAAATAAAAAACACAAACTATCATCTACAGTCTGGTAGCACTGAACACAACTGGGTGGTGATGAAGAGAGTTGCTAGGTGGATGGGGAGAGGCTGCTTAGACGTCAGACCTCCTCAGGTATAAAGCCAGTTCATATGCTTTCTTGTTGAGTGTCCCTCCATGGACACCTTCCTTTCCCATGACTATAACCAATGCTGGAGTACACAAGGAAACAAAACAGAAATGAAGAGAATTAAAGGGAAAAAAAAAAAGAAAAAAGAAAAAGAAAACACCTTTCCCCACCAACAAAGGGATACAAAGGAGACACAGGTTCATACCCCATCACCCTGCATTGCTAATAAAGTTTCCAGAATGTAAGGTTTAAAGCTCACCGCCAGGAAAGTTTAATAGCAATCTTCCCCTAATACTTAACAGTCTGCCTAGCAACTAGAACCCAGAGTCTCTCAAGTATTTTGCCATTGAGTATGCCTTCTTATTCAATCCGCCTCCATGGACCCCTTCTTTGCCCATTACAAAGACCAAGACTGAAAGAGAAAAGAAAAAAGTTTTAAAAAGAGTGTGTTAGACAAGTAAATAATGCAAGTTTTAGGCAGTGTAATAAACACACTCAAATTCAAGATTTAGTATTTGGCTATAAAGCTAGTTTAACAGGAGTTTCGTAAAAATATAGGTATAGACAGGGCTGGGGGAAGGCATGAGTTATCCTCGTGAATATTACGTGACTATGTAAGTCGTAAGAGTTCACTGCTAAGAAAAATGCAACCAAGTATCTCAAAAAAGCATCACAAGTGCCTCTCCGTTATCAGCACCATCCACCATCACGGAAACCCTGGATGCATCTTTAAATAAAAAATAATAATAAAAAAAAAAGCTTTTCCCCAGAAGTGTAACTTTAGAGCAGAAGTGGGAATATTTTTACATTCTTTTCTGTAGTGGTCACTACTGGTGTGAAAAACAGTAACTGCCTCAATAAACCCATGGGGTCAGAGATCTAAGACTTTTCACACAACCATGCAACTAGAAAACATGCTTTTTGTGTAAGACAAAACACAAAGAAGATCTCGGCGTTGACCCTCTCTATTCCAGCAGTCTAGTGGACAAGAATATCCAAAGTCTTCTCAGCCAGTAAACACTACTTGCGAGTTGCCAGCAGATGTCACCAGCAGGTACACAGACACAATAAGCCCTCTGCTTCCCCAAGCACAGCAGCTGTTTCCCAAGCTAGGAATACTGTAACTGGAAATACTGCAGTCAGCCTACCTACAGGTGACTGTACATCTCCATAGCAATTCCCTCACAGAAAGCTTAAGACAAACAGTTCATTGGCATTTCACAACCAGTAGCAGAACCAGAACTCCCCTTATTTCACTTCAGTGCTGTAACTTTCTTCCGGTATTTTTGCCAACAGCTTTAGCCTACAGAGAAATTTTGCTCTAGTTTTGTTTTTATACTTATAAGCAAAAGTCCGCTGCTCAGCAATCTGCTTCACAGCAAGGCAAAAAATGCTAGGCCAAGTATTTTGAACACAAAGGCCTGCTACTTGTAGCCAGTATTTCGAGGCATGTTTTTACATCCAAATCTAGTGCCTTCCCCATGATAGGTTTCACTAAAAGTTAAGTGACGAGCACAAGGAGTTGGTGTACTAGCATAAAGCAAGTTTCTCAATGATACCAAACTGGATGGGCTTTTAGCTCACAGACTTCAGAGAGCTCAACAGGAATGCAAGAAGAGTTAGTGTAGAACTTGTAAGAGGCGAGCAGGAGAAATTCACACAAGAACTCACATCTTTGCAGAATAAACCTTCTGTTCAACAGTTTACAACATAAGAGTCAGATTCACTACTGACCATTACTAGATCACTACCATAAGCTTTAGATACCAAGCTACCTTATACTTGGTAGCCTACTTCGAGCTGTAGCTTGCTCTTCCCTGCTTGCCAGGGATCTGGTTAACCGCTTCCTAGCCTAATGCTCAGATAGGAACAGGGACAAGTATGATAACCAGCCAAAGACCTAGCCAGCCAGCCAGGCCACTGCCATCCACCCTCCTTGCGTCACTTCCGAAATTAACCATTAAATACAGGAGCCTGGTTTTCTTAATAGCTGAAGTCTATGCTTAGGGTCATACTCTTAATTTAGTGAGCTGAGAGTGAAGAAAATCATGCTTACCTCGGCCAGCTCTGCCTACAGCAACATTGTACGTTGGCTCACCACCTTGACTCTTTGTCCTGATGTCCATTGTGCAGTCACCATCAACATACAGGCTATCTCTGATCACAGAGCACTTCTTTGCACCAAGGGTCAGACCGTTGGTGAAAAAACCCTCTCGGTCTTTTCCTACAATCATATCTATTTCTACTGGCTGTCAAAGAAAAAAAGTCCATAGTTAGTAGGGCAGTATTTTATTGTTTTATTTCAATTCAGAAAACATCCTGTCTTGTGTTGAGACGATCAGACAGTACCTTTCCCCCTGCTCACACACAGTGCTTTGTTAGTCACAGTTTGCACTGAACTGGTCTATTACCACTTTAAGCAGTGGATCCGCTGCCCTGGACTACCTCAGCCCAAATCTGCAGCGACTCTCGGTTCCAAGCTCTCATTAAGGGAGGTGATTCAGGGTTGAAACTAGCTAAGCACAGGGCCCGTGTCTTGGCGATAGAACGCACTAACCCTGTGGAACCCAAACACCTACTGCACTCATCCCCGAAAGATCGGCTCAAATGCCACCCGCCCGCACCGGCGGGGCACGAGCTCGGCCCTAGCCACGCTGCTGAGGCGCCTCCGCATACTCGGGGCAGCTGGTACACGCGGTGCCTCTACGCGCTACCGCCCGGCTCTGGGGCCACCGTCCATCCCTACGTGAGGGTGGAGAGCACCCACCCCGGGAGGACAGCGCGGTCGCGGGGGTCGGGCGGCGGCGCAGCCCGGTGAGGCGGGGGAAAGCCGGGGAGGGCCGGGCCCTGCTGCAGAGCGGCGGCCTCAAAGTGCAGCGTCACGACGGGCCCTGCCGCCCCAATCACGGCACAGCACTGCGCGGCCGCCGCCACAGCCGTAGGCCTTGACCGGCCCCGCTCTGCTCCAGCTCTCGAACCGCGACCGGGCCCCTCCACGCCTGGGGCGGGGCGCGGCTCTGCCGCCGGGTCGTCCCGGGCAGGCCGCGCTGCAACATGCCGGCAGCCCCGCATGGCCCTTACGTAACGGCGGCACGGGTCCCGCCCGGCCTGGCGGACGGCGGGAGCGGTGCCGATGGGAGCAGAGCGGGGTGGCTGCGGGAGCAGAAGCGAAGGACGGACAGGGGTGGGGGGGATGGGGAGGGAGGAATCAATGGCAGTGCGCCATCTTGGCGATGAAAAACATGGAGCCAGCGGCGAGGTGGGCATTCACGAACGCCTCCTACGCCGCGCACGTAAGCCTCGCCGCAGCGCCGGGCCCGGGCGGCCCTACGCAAGCCCCACCGCGCACACCCCGCGCGGCCTCTCCCGCCGCCTCCCGCGGTCCCACCGCATCGAGCCGCGGCCCCCGCCCCCGCCGCCGGGAAGGGCCCCAGCGGCGGCACCGCCGGCAGCCACAGACAAAAAGGCAGCGCGGGCTCGCTCCCCCGGCGCCAGGCCCGCCGCCGCCTTCCCCCGCCGCCCCGCAAGGTGCCCCCGTCCCTCGTGCGCCGCCTCGCCCCGCCGTTAACGGCCACGCTCGCTCCCACAGGGCCGGGCTCGCCCTTCCCCGCGCCCTGCCCTGCCTCCCCGCCGCCGCCCTTACCGTGATGCTCTGGAAGATGCCGCCGGCCGTGGCTGCCCAGACGTACTTGGCGTCGCAGTAGCCCACAATGGCGGCCTCCTGGCAGCAGCCATCGCACATCAGGTTGTCCACGTAGCTCTGCCAGCCGGCCATCTTCGCGCGGGCGGCGGTGGGGGCGAGCGGGGCGGGCGGCGAGGCGCGGGCCAGGCGGCGGGCGGCGGGGCTGGGCGAGGCGGTCCCGTCCCTCTCTCCCTCCTCACAGCGGAGCAGACCAGAGCGCTGCAGCGGGCGGCGCGGCGCGGCCCAGCCCTCCGCGCTGCCGGCGCCGAGGGGCGGAGGAGAGGAGGGGCGCGGCACAGCACCGCCCCCCGCGCCGCCGGGCTCCGCAAGGCCGAGGCGGGAACGGCGGGGCTGCGGCGCCGACCGCCGGGTGGAGGAGTGCGGGGCTGGCGGGAGGGCGCCCGTCGGCGGTGGGTCCGGTTGCGGTCGCGCCCGGCAGGTAGGTGCGGGGGGCCCAGGGTGCCCCGTCCCGGAGGGAGGGGTGCGCTCTCCGCGCTCTTCCGGACACCTGGGGGGGGGTGGCTGGGGTCCAGCGCGCCCTCGCCTCAGCACCTCTGGGTGACCGGCCCCTCGCCCCGGTGTGGCAGTCGGCGCTGCCGCCGCTCACTGGTGCTTCTGCACGGTCGGGGCTGGGGTCGAGCACCCGTGCGGTGCTGGCGGTTCTGTGTGCCGCTTTCCGCGTTTGCTCTGACGCTGGAGGAGTGCGAATGGTGCTCTGATGTCCAAGAAATGGCGATGTTCTCATCTCTGGAAGCATAGTCGTTGCCTAGGTAAAACTCTGTTACTCCTCTGTTGGTAGTTGGCCGTACTCTGCTTCCTCCTTGCCCCTGCAAGCTGAACCAAAGTCCTGTCAATGTAGCGAGAGGATTTCTGTATCGAATTGCTGGTCTTGTATGGAGCCGGTGGGCTCCTTATCTCACAGGCTAACATCTGTTGCATTTTATTTCTGTGTGGTTTTGTAAGTGGCTGTTTCAGGTTTTATTCTTACAGGTACCACCAGGTTGAGATAATTTAGTTTCCGCATTCGTTTGTAAGATGTCCAGGTCTGATCCCAGTTTTTTGCTACATTGGTATTGGGCTCTGGGTAGGATCACTGCTTGGAAGACTGGCCTGCTGCTAGTTGCAGAAATGTTCACCTGCAACATTAAGGGTGTGTTTTAGGGCAATGGCTCTGCCCTTAACATTGAGGTTGCAGTGTGGTAGTGGGTCACCTTCCTTTTGAGCAAGGTGGTTTTGCCTTACATAGTATCTGTTGTGATTATCTGGGAAATGGGGACAGGTTGGAATGTGAAGTGGTGGTCCATGCAGTTAACATTGAAGCTTTAATTCAAGAAGTTAGATCTTATACCTGAATAGGCATGGCATACAATAATTGCATCTGTCTTTTCTGAGGTTATACCCACCAGGAAGAATATTCACCATATATTTCTAATGAATATCCATACAGCATGCTTCAGAGTATAGTTTTAAAACCTGTTTTGGTTGTCATAGAAGTAAGTGTTGTTTAGATAGTAATAGAGATTGCTTACATTACTAGATACTTTAAAAAGCCCTTATTTGCATGTTTTAGCTTTACTCTGTAAGTATCTTCTCTTTTTTAATTTTCACAGTGCCTTTCCCACTCTGAATTTGGACAGCACCAGAACTTTGCTTTATTCTTTTCCAGCCGCCCATGTATAGCAAAAATGTCCTCGTGTCATTCTTGGGTGACATGGTGTAGTGTGAGGCATTCCCACCCATGGCAGGGGCCTTGGAACTATATGATTTTAAGGTATTTTCCAATGCTAACCATTCTATGATTCTGTTGCATCTCCCAAAGAGTTACAGGCTTTAAATTTGCTTTCACCTCTTTAACTAGCTAAAGCTTTTTGTGAAGTTTGGGTTGACTTCATCATCCTCCCATTTTTGCCATGGAAAGGAGAAGTTCTCTTCTATCTGAAGCTGCCATGGAAGGCCACTTTTTTTTTGTAATGCTTGCCTGTAGGAAGTCCCAGTTTAACACTAGTACTTGCACTGAATAGAATGCATCTATCTTAAATGAACAGGAGGCTGATGGGTCCATTATTTTTAGAGTTTGATCAAAATGTGGGGTTTGCATTTTTTGTTGGTTTTGCAAGCTGCAGTAAGGATTCCAAACTGCTTCACTTTAGTAAGTGGATTTACTAAATACAGGGGCAGACATCTGATAATGCTGAACCCAGAGGAAGGCCTGGTGAATTTTGGAGCTGCCTGTGTGCCAGTGTCATTGTCCTTGATTAACAAGAGGTAAGCTTTGCATGGACAGCAGGCTGCTTGGTACACACATGGAGGAATCTCACGCAAGAACCTGTGGGTTTCCAGGGCTTTTTATAAAGGCTATGCCACCTCTTGCCTTGAGGTATCTCACCTTCCCACATGGACCCTTCCACCCGTTTGTCCATCCCTTATACCTGAGGACCACGCATTCATTTCGAGGCCCTATGGTGTAATGTCCAGTTTCATGGGAGGTAGAGGCCCATTGGTCACTGTCAGCTAGATGTCTGGGAGGAAGCACCACTGCTCTAGGAGCTGCGGAACTGCTGCAAGAGGCACTGCTTGGCTGTCCCTGGGACTTCAGAGCCTTGCCAGTTTAGTGTGGGGTGGGTTCAGTGCTCCTTTGAAGAACTAAATGTTTCTTATGGATGTCAGAGAACGCAGTGAGTCCTGTAATGCTACCACTGCTTTGCAGGGAATATCACTGTTTTTTAATTAAGCTGCATAAACCAGGTGATCAAGTAGTGTGAATGCTATTTTGATGAGATTACGTTAGTGACACAGGGAATACAGGTGTCTGCTTTTAATGATTTAAATTGGAAATAACTGCATGGAAGTCTGGGACCTCCTGAACAGAAATGATAAGAGTAGAGGATCTGCCACTTGCTTGGTGTCTCGTCTTTTAGTCATGTTACTTGTGAAGTAACTCTAGTAATAGAGTGAACTCTAAATTGGATTACCATTATTTAATGATATGAAATTACCAGATAGCATACCAGTATAATTTACAGATTCAGGAGCCACCAGTGCTATTTCTAAAACTCGTACTCCTTTATTTTCACTATTAGGTACCTCATTTGGATGTGTTCTAGGCTATGCAATTATTATAATGCTATTTGTATAGACACTACTTTTGAGACTATTCAGTTTAAGAAGATGAGGATGTGCTCTGTATGATAAAGACTGTAAGAGACATTCCAGTTTTATTATTTGTTACAAGTCTTAACTGAAATCTGAGACATTTGTTATATGATTTATGTATTAACGAAAATATAGTTGTTAAAATTGATAGATGGAGCAGCTCATTTAACATTGATACCTGGACTGACATGAGAAATGGTGCTGTCTGAACATAAGCCATACATGTATCATAACTAGTTGCTAACCCATGATTTCTTGTATTTTAGTCTCTTTTGACATTCTGCCCACTAGTTCTTTGTAGAAGTTTTTTGTCCAATACAGCCAGACTTTGGTTTTTTTTTAATGCAGCTTGTAACAGTTATTAGTCATTTTGCTTTGATTCAGAACTTTGTCTGAAATGTGTTGGATCACATCTAAGAGAAATAATCATTTGAAAGAATGCCTGTGCTTAGCCAGAGTGTACTATTTGTAGTTTTGTGAGAAACTTGACTGCTTTTTTATTAGCAACATGAAAACTGAAATTGACAAAAAACTTGAAGGAGGGTGTGTATTTTGTTAGTAAAATAACTCACATTTTTCTGTCAGGCTTTGTAAGTACTGGAGCATTTTGAGAGAAATTTAAGCAGCATTTATATGTAGATAGAAAGGGCAAGTGACCATCAACAGAAAACATCTTGACTTTTGAAAATTACCCTTTACAGAGCCAGAGCTCACCTGAGGCATCATTCGTTACCACGGTTCATGCCAGTTTGTGGTGCTGCTCTGGTAACTTCCTCTTCAGAGCATACTAGATTTCCTGTGACAGTCTTTCTATTTACCGCAAGTGCTTTCAGAAGTGCAGAGGGTAAAACCCATTTATAAGTGTTGCGAGTTAGCACATTCACTTCTGCTGATTAAAAGGCAAGAAGCAAGGAGCAGTCTGTCTCTTAGCCTCATGGGGATGACTTGAAACCTGGCAGTGCAGTCCTTCCACTGCTACTTAAGTGACTTGGCTGAAAAACAAGGAAGCCACCAAAGATGCCTGTTAGTTAGAAATAAATTGTAAAAATGGCATATTAATGAGCAGAAAGCTTGACGCTAGGATTCGAAAATAGTGATACAAAATGCAAGAATCACTACATTAAAACCACAATGCTTTGTCTCCACAGAGGAGGTTTGCCTGGTATGGTCTTACCAGTATAGGTAGCTCAACAAAACCTTTGTCTTCCCAAGGATTAATTAGATAAGCAGTTAAGCAGAATTTCCCTTATCCTTTATTTAACCATCAAATTCAAACACTACAAATACATATTCTAGTCTGAGGCATCCCTGCCCATGGCAGGGGCACTGGAACTAGATGATCTTAAGGTCCTTTCCAGCCCTAACTATTCTATGAGTCTATGACTCTATAAAACCCAAAATCTGACTTAAAATTAGATGCAAGGTTAGTAGTGTTGAAATGTCAGATAGGAGATTGTTTCCATTTTGGTGGCTTCCAGAAATGCTTTAAATCTGAGGAAGGACAGTTCTTTGTGGATCTGATTTATAGACTGGTCAGAGCATTAAAAAAAAAAAAAAAAAAGTCTGAAATCATGGAACTTTTCCTTTTTTGGATTTTTAAGGTAAATTCTTGATCTTGCATGTGGCCAATAAAAAATAAACCTTAATCCTAGAAATTAAAGTTTATTATATGTAAATTCTTACTTGGACAGATAGTCTTCAGTTCATATTGGTGTCTTTGGTGAGAGTCCCTGCATGAGTGAGATGTGCAGAATTAGGTCTTTATGACCCAGCTTTCTTTGTATTCACATTTATCAGGCAGGCTCTTCAGGGTACTTGGATCCTGCAATATTTTGTTTTGCTTTAAATAAAGCAAACAGAACCCAAATAGGTAGTCCTTTGTTAATTTTTCAGTTATGAAACAAGGGTACTGTGAAATTCAGTAAGTTTGTAGATAGCTGGATACAGTGGAAGGAAGGTGGTAGCATCTTCAATCCAAGATCTTTTGTTTACTTCATTTTATTCAAGCCCGGTGGCTCATTATATGCCTTTGTTAACTGATTATTTCAGTGGGTGCAAGGCTGTATAAAAGTTAATCTAAAAAGTGAACACTAAGGCTAAGAAATGCTTT